TTAAAAATCATTATATTATTGTAACATTATTGTTGTTTCACAATAAAATTTTTAAATGAAGAAATTATTTTTTTTGTTTCTCTTCAGCTAGAGTATCCCTTCATAAACCTAAATGTAAGTTAAAACAATAAAGCTTCTAAAAGAAAACAAAGATGATTTTCCTGAGCCCGAGATAGGCAGAGAATTCTCAGAAAGGCTTCTTTTTGTTTTTTTTGGAGGTTTTTTTGGTGGATGGCTGGTATGGGGATCCAAACCCATTACCTCTGTCATAGGGCTGTGCAAGAGGCCTCTTTTTACAAGCACTAAACATAAAAGATAAACTTGATAAACTGGACTTCATCAAAATTAAAAATGTCAGCTAATCAAAATATTCCATTAAGAAAATGAAAAGGCAGACCAAAGAGTGGGAGAAAATATTCACAATATCTGAGAAAAGATTTGTATATGTAATATAAAAGGAACTCTTACAACTCAACAATAAGGCAAACAACCCAATATGAAAATTAATTTGGGCTAAAAATTAAAATTTAGTTGTGCTAAAGACTTTAATAGCCACCTTATAATGATATCTGAATGGGAATAATCACATGAAAAGGTGCTCAACATTAATCATCAGGGAAATACAAATTAAAACTACAGTGAGGTGCAATTTGGCCTACACTAGAACAGCTAAAATTAAAAGGACTTATGATAACAAATGTCAGCAAATATCTGAGGCAACTGAAATCTTCACATATTGCTGACAGGAGTGTAAAATCACTTTGGAAAAAGTAATGGCAGTTCCTTATAAAGTTAAACATACTTCTATCCTACAACCCTGTAATTCTATTCCTAAGTTTTTATGATGGGAAATGAAAACAAACATCCACAAAAATACTCTACAAGAATGTTCATAGCAGCTTTCGTCATAACAAACCCAAATCCAAAACAATCCAAATGCCCATCACAGAAGGAATAAATAAACTGATATATTTATACAATGTAATACTACCCAGGTATAAAAGGGAAAGAACTACTGATACACATGAACAACATAGATGAATGTGAGAAACATTATTTGAGCAAAAGCAGCCAGACACATCCACTGTATCATTTTATTTACATGAAGTTCAAGAACAGGCAAAATCTTATAAACTACTGGGACAGAAATTAGAGCAGCAGTCACCTAGGGAGGTAAAGGGGGTTGGAGAATGCCTGGAAGGATTAAGAGAGAACTTTCTAAGGTGACAAAAATATTATGTAGGTTGGGGTAGTGGTTACACAGATATATACATTTATGGAAGCTTTCCAAACATCTGCGCATTTCACCACATAAATTTCCCTTCAATTTAAAACGCACACACACACACACACAAGTACCTCTGTACACATTTTTATCCTTGTCTTTTTAAATATTTATATATATATTCCCTATCAATCTGCTCTAAAATGAAGTTATCCAAAGATCACTTTGGAAACTTTGCTCTTTTCTAACTTTGTTTTATTTCTGTTGTTCTTCACAATTTATAAAACATGAATCTGTGTGAATAAATATAAAACCTTATCGTTGCAACTAACCTGTGAGGGAGAAAGGTCCGATGATACCGTCCCTACTTAAAGATGAGGAAAGGCTGACTCAAGAAAGTAACTTTTCCCAAACTACAGAGCCACAAAGTAGGTGGGCAGTCATCGGAGGCCAGATCTCCTGAGTTCTGGTCCAGCACTCTGCTTTCTGTACCACGCAACCTCAACTTACCAAATCACTTCTAAATTAGCACCTCTCCTTGGTTATTCCTTTCTATACATCTTTTTCTTCACTCTGGCTAACCTCTTCTCTGAGTGGCTTTCCAACATGGACCTTCTAGGTTCCTTCCACAAGAAGGACCTGACCGATACAGGGTATTTTAGTGAAACTCCTGCAGACATTAGAAATAATTCCAGTGCCTGCACCACTCCAACGCTTCTCCTTTCTGTCTGCTACCAAACTCTGGTTACCCAGAAATAATACCTTCTCACATCCTGGTTTGGGGTGGGGAAGAAAGAGAGGAAAGGAGAATGAATATGAACCGATAAATCATGGATGCCCAGGGCCTCAATGTACGGGACAGATTAAAATCCTCCCAGGAGGGACAAAACCATGCATTAGGCTTTCCCCATCCATGGGCTGTTGTCCTTCCCCATATTCCCCACCCAAACTTTGTAGCTACACTCGGTTTGGGGGTCACCCCCTCCACATACACGTTTAGAACTCAACTCTGGAGGGCTGATGCCTGAAAGCCAGTAAACCTTATCTTTACAGAGACATCCCGTCTGCATGTATGCACAGGGGCTAAAAAACAAGCAAAAACTCACAATAACCACAACAAAACCCTTAACAGGTTATCTCGGTGTCCTTCTTTAATGACCTTAGAAGAGACTGAAAAGCAGAGGGGATGTTTTCAAAGGTACTGGGCAAAGGTTAATTAATGGCTAGTGTCCTACGCTTTGAGCATTTTTGTTACAGAGCACGTATGATTTTTACGCTGAGAGGGCATTTTAATTTTTAAATCAATCCATCCGTCATCAGCAGGCCTGGCCCCCAGCGACGCCCCGTGACGAGCGGGGCTCACGCTCCCCCAGCCAGGCTCCAGTTTGCGACTCTACTGCCGAGTGTGGACGCGGGGCCGGCGGAGAGTCCCCGCGCCCTTCCTGTCCGCCCCGGCTCGGCCCCA